ATAATAATTGTCCTGGGGCAGACGCTTTTTTTTATTATTTTTTTGTTTACCCGGTTGAATATGCAAGTTAAAAATTGCCATCATAACTCACTTAATTCAGTCGTAAGGTATACTACCACCTCCCGATGATACTAAACAATCCTTATTTTTAAAGTTAATATCTTTACAAGGTACTTAACATTAACTCAGCCCTAGGGGATACTACCACCTCCCCAGGATACAAAACAAGCCTCGTTTAGTTAACTTCGTCACAAGGTACTTAAATTTCTTAACGCTTCTAGTAAACAAAGAAAACAAAATTTTTTATTAGGTATCCCTCACAATAAAAGTTTAACTGTAGTTATCCCCCGAAGAGGATACCTATAGTGATTGTCGTTTTTTTTTTTATTACACAGAACTGTCGACTAACACCCATGTAACTACTGCTAGTTGAATAGGAGTTACAAGCTCTAGGACACTCGTCCATACGTCTGGTCCTGCCTGGGACGCAAGCATTAGCACCAAGAAATAACCAGGGATGCATGCGGGTCGCGCACCCGGCTGCTTGCACTAGCACCAACAAACACCCAGGGCCGCATGCGGCTCAAGCACCCTGCCTGCTTGCCCTAGCACCAACAAACACCCAAGGACGCATGCGGCTTAGGCACCCTGCCTGCTTGCACTAGCACCAACAAACACCCAGGGACGGACACGGCTCGGGCACCCTGCTGCTTGCACTAGCACCAACAAACACCCAGGGCCGCATGCGGCTCAAGCACTGCCTGCTTGCCCTAGCACCAACAAACACCCAAGGACGCATGCGGCTTAGGCACCCTGCCTGCTTGCACTAGCACCAACAAACACCCAGGGACGGACACGGCTCGGGCACCTGGTTGCTTGCACTAGCACCAACAAACACCCAGGGACGGACGCGGTTAAAGCACCCTGCCTGCTTGCCCTAGCACCAACAAACACCCAGGGCCGCATGCGGCTCAAGCAGTAAAGGTCGAGAACCAAAACCTAGTCATTGTGGTAGTCTACAAGCCTCCGGATGCAACATCCCAGCAATTCCAGGAACAGCTGTTAAAAATTGACCACTGTCTGGAAAATCTTCCAGCTCCTGCACCCAACATCTTGCTCCTGGGGGATTTCAACTTAAGGCACCTAAAATGGAGGAATATAGCAAATAATATTGTTGCAGTAATAACACCAGGAGGCAGCTCTGATGAAAACTCACACTCACACGAGCTTTTAAATCTCTGCACAAAATTCAATTTAAACCAGCAAATAATAGAGCCTACTAGACTGGAGAATACACTAGACCTCATCTTCACTAACAATGATGATCTGATAAGAAATGTCACCATATCAAAAACAATATACTCAGATCACAACATAATTGAGGTTCAGACATGTATGCGTGGAACCCCAGACCGACATAATGAGACTAGTCACGAGGGAGCATTCACCAAATTCAACTTCAATAACGAAAACATAAAGTGGGACCAAGTAAACCAAGTCCTAACCGATATAAGCTGGGAAGATATACTAAGCAACACAGACCCAAACTTATGCCTAGAACAGATTAACTCGGTGGCACTCGATGTATGCACAAGGCTTATTCCTCTAAGAAAAAGGAGGAGTAGATGTAAAATAGAAAGAGACAGGCGCTCCCTTTACAGGCGACGGAAAAGAATAACAGAGCGGCTAAAAGAGGTCAATATATCTGAAATGCGTAGGGAGACACTGGTCAGAGAAATAGCAAGCATCGAACTTAAGCTAAAAGACTCCTTTAGGAGTCAGGAATCGCGGGAAGAACTAAAAGCCATAAATGAAATCGAAAGAAACCCAAAGTATTTCTTCTCCTATGCGAAATCAAAATCGAGAACAACGTCCAGTATTGGGCCCCTACTTAAACAAGATGGGTCGTACACAGATGACAGCAAGGAAATGAGTGAGCTACTCAAGTCCCAATATGACTCAGTTTTTAGCAAGCCGCTAACCAGACTGAGAGTCGAAGATCAAAATGAATTTTTTATGAGAGAGCCACAAAATTTGATTAACACAAGCCTATCCGATGTTATCCTGACGCCAAATGACTTCGAACAGGCGATAAATGACATGCCCATGCACTCTGCCCCAGGGCCAGACTCATGGAACTCTGTGTTCATCAAGAACTGCAAGAAGCCCCTATCACGAGCCTTTTCCAGCCTGTGGAGAGGGAGCATGGACACGGGGGTCGTCCCACAGTTACTAAAAACAACAGACATAGCCCCACTCCACAAAGGGGGCAGTAAAAGCAACAGCAAAGAACTACAGACCAATAGCACTAACATCCCATATCATAAAAATCTTTGAAAGGGTCCTAAGAAGCAAGATCACACCCATCTAGAAACCCATCAGTTACACAACCCAGGGCAACATGGGTTTAGAACAGGTCGCTCCTGTCTGTCTCAACTATTGGATCACTACGACAAGGTCCTAAATGCACTAGAAGACAAAAAGAATGCAGATGTAATATATACAGACTTTGCAAAAGCCTTCGACAAGTGTGACCATGGCGTAATAGCGCACAAAATGCGTGCTAAAGGAATAACAGGAAAAGTCGGTCGATGGATCTATAATTTCCTCACTAACAGAACACAGAGAGTAGTCGTCAACAGAGTAAAGTCCGAGGCAGCTACGGTGAAAAGCTCTGTTCCACAAGGCACAGTACTCGCTCCCATCTTGTTCCTCATCCTCATATCCGACATAGACAAGGATGTCAGCCACAGCACCGTGTCTTCCTTTGCAGATGACACCCGAATCTGCATGACAGTGTCTTCCATTGCAGACACTGCAAGGCTCCAGGCGGACATCAACCAAATCTTTCAGTGGGCTGCAGAAAACAATATGAAGTTCAACGATGAGAAATTTCAATTACTCAGATATGGTAAACATGAGGAAATTAAATCTTCATCAGAGTACAAAACAAATTCTGGCCACAAAATAGAGCGAAACACCAACGTCAAAGACCTGGGAGTGATCATGTCGGAGGATCTCACCTTCAAGGACCATAACATTGTATCAATCGCATCTGCTAGAAAAATGACAGGATGGATAATGAGAACCTTCAAAACTAGGGAGGCCAAGCCCATGATGACACTTCAGGTCACTTGTTCTATCTAGGCTGGAATATTGCTGCACACTAACAGCACCTTTCAAGGCAGGTGAAATTGCCGACCTAGAAAATGTACAGAGAACTTTCACGGCGCGCATAACGGAGATAAAACACCTCAATTACTGGGAGCGCTTGAGGTTCCTAAACCTGTATTCCCTGGAACGCAGGAGGGAGAGATACATGATTATATACACCTGGAAAATCTAAGAGGGACTAGTACCGAACTTGCACACGAAAATCACTCACTACGAAAGCAAAAGACTTGGCAGACGATGCACCATCCCCCCAATGAAAAGCAGGGGTGTCACTAGCACGTTAAGAGACCATACAATAAGTGTCAGGGGCCCGAGACTGTTCAACTGCCTCCCAGCACACATAAGGGGGATTATCAACAGACCCCTGGCAGTCTTCAAGCTGGCACTGGACAAGCACCTAAAGTCAGTTCCTGATCAGCCCGGCTGTGGCTCGTACGTTGGTTTGCGTGCAGCCAGCAGCAACAGCCTGGTTGATCAGGCTCTGATCCACCAGGAGGCCTGGTCACAGACCGGGCCGCGGGGGCGTTGACCCCCGGAACTCTCTCCAGGTAAACTCCAGGTAAACTTGCACTAGCACCAACAAACACCCAGGGACGGACGCGGCTTACACTAGCACCAACAAACACCCAGGGACGGACGCGGCTTACACTAGCACCAACAAACACACAGGGACGGACGCGGCTTACACTAGCACCAACAAACACCCAGGGACGGACGCGGCTTACACTAGCACCAACAAACACCCAGGGACGGACGCGGCTTACACTAGCACCAACATACACATAGGGACGGACGCGGCTTACACTAGCACCAACAAACACCCAGGGACGGACGCGGCTTACACTAGCACCAACAAACACCCAGGGACGGACGCGGCTTACACTAGCACCAACAAACACCCAGGGACGGACGCGGCTTACACTAGCACCAACATACACATAGGGACGGACGTGGCTTACACTAGCACCAACAAACACCCAGGGACGGACGCGGCTTACACTAGCACCAACAAACACCCAGGGACGGACGCGGCTTACACTAGCACCAACAAACACCCAGGGACGGACGCGGCTTACACTAGCACCAACAAACACCCAGGGACGGACGCGGCTCGGGCGCGCGTCTACATGCACCTGCGGGACACTGACCCCGATTCTCTGTCTGAAAGCGGTCCGCTGTTTGAATGAATGACCTTCTCGACACATATTTACAAGAATGTCAGCTATACATGACAATCGAATAGGATTGTCAGACACTGAAAAATAAACATCTCAACCAGAACTAAGCAAAATCTCTTTTATTTTGTTAGATTACATCAGCAGATGCAGTGTGATAACAGCTTACGAATGAAAACAGGTGAATATTTAAATATCGCGTGTCAACAAAAGTGGAAAAAAAAGTATATCTGATGAGAGATAACGACACAGCTTGTAGGTAGACACTGTGATTTTGTTGTACAGCAAAACCACCTGCAGTGTGAATCAGCACAGCAAATTTAATAGCCAGATTACTACTTAACACAAGAAATCATTACAAGGATGACATCTTTTATTCTATCCTTACTGGTGACGGAAGGTTAGGTTAGGTAAGGTTTGTCAGGAAACAGGACAATTGTTTATTGACGCGGGTCTTAGTCATACCATGACCCCGCAGCTGGGAGCTTTTGGTCATCTGACCGAGGCCTTCCGCTAGCTTACCCCTCCACCTCTTCAAAAATTATAGTTATGATTTAACCATTACTACCCAACATTTTTTATATTGACGGAACTGTATTTCCAGATCCTTCAGTCCCATAAATTACAACATAATCAAGTCACTTTACAAACCTTCCTCTTCTGACTACTGTAATCTTCTTCTTGTCGATCTGTTCCACGGAGTCGAACAGTCTGGAGAGGAGATCGGTGTTTCCCACCTTAATCATTCGCTCTGCCTTGAACTCCTCCCTGTCAGTTTTCGTGTCCTTGTGATCACTTTCCTCGTCCGGCGGCGTCACTGGTCGAACGTCTGGCAAGGAGAACAAGGAAAGATAAAAAAAAAAAAAAAGTGTACGTCGGCAAGAACAGGGAATGAAAAAAAAAACGAGTGTACGTCTGGCAGGGAAAGAAAATAAATTAATTACCGTAGGTTTTTGCAAGGAAATCAGTGATATACAAGAATGAGTACTTCAGGCAGGGGAAAACAAATATGCAAATAAATAATTATCGTAGTGTCAGGGAAAGCAGAGAAGTTATCATACTTCGGCAGGGAAAACCAAAATGTCAGCAATAAACAAAGGTATGTTTGGTAGAGAATAAGGTTAAATTGCAAAAAAGAAATGCAACTCTGGCAGGGAAAAAGGAATATAAACAACAACCATAATCTAACAACGGAAGCAGGAGAAAAATATTAGCAATGACCGAGCTTCTGGCAGGTAAAATGGGTAACCGATGATCGTACGTCTGGCAAGGAAGCAAGGTACGTAAACATTGGTAGTACGTCTGGCAGGGAAGAATATATAAAAAAACTATAGTATACGTGTACTTGTAAAGAAAATCTAGAAACAAAGGTAAGTAATCATGAGGCTTATTTTACAATAAACAAAGAAATAAAGAACATATGTATGCATTATAAATTTAATTAAAGTCAATATCTACATGCTAACAAAAATAGAGGCAAGCAAAATAAAAATTAATGACATGTATGCATTATAAATTGAGTTAGTTTGTAGTAAAGTCAATATCAGCGTGCTAACAAAAATAAATAAGTAAGCAAAACAAAGAAATTAATGACATGAATATATTATAAACTGAGTTTTATTGAAGTTAATATCTACGTGCTAACAAAAATAAAACCAAGCACATTTCGCAATATTTATGTCCTAATGATGGTAATTAAGCCTTGACAATACAATGCGCGTCTGTTACCTTCATCGTGGCAGGGAGTCCAAGAAAAATTGGCAATGCAATGAGGCAGGTAATTTTGTGATAATGGCAAATTGGATATGTTGCAAGATAGAGTGTCGTATAGGACACAGTCACGCAGTGAGGTGGACATGAACAGGATAACTCTGCCGCAAGTGTGGTAGGTATTTTTTTTTTATTCGCCGGTACTCTCCCGGCCCGGGTCTTTTCCAAGTAGTGGTGACCCGGCCTTGGCTCCCTATCTGGGGAGTATCTCGAGACCTAAGTCTCCCATGGGAGGAGGTACAAGTACCCCCTCATCTTTGGAACCAAGTGTCCCCAGGCCTAGCCCCAGTCCCCGCCCTCACGGGGCTCGTAGGGAGAAGCTAGGCCTTTGGTCTGCCATCTGTCCCGCCCCAAAGGGGCTCGTGGGGATGGCAGTCTTGTGAGCTGCAGGTGATAGCAAGCTCAGGCCTTTTTTGTGTGGTAGGTATTGTATACAAACTACATATATAACTGTCCCAGATACGGTGTCAGAGAGAGATATTTACTCGCTGCACATGACGCCTAGATTATCCAATATATTATACGTGTCTCTTTAATTTCTGTCTATTTTTTTTATGTTATTTCAACATTTCTCTTCCACATCATTGTTTTTCTTAGCTTCATTCAGTCATTGTATTTTTTTTTTCGCTTTCCTCACGGCCTTCTTGCTTCTATGTTCTTCCCATCTTACCTGTGTTTGTCGATATCTGATTATCTTCCCCTTCCTCTCTTTATATCGTTGCCTCCCTACAGCCCTTCCTTCATTACAGCCTTCCTCCTGTCCTTTCCATCCCTTCAATCCATCCTTCCTTGCCCCATTCTTTTACTCCATCACCTCCTTCCTTCCCTGCTTCCCTTCTATACCTCACTCCATTATTCCTTTGTGTCCATACTTCCTACCCTTCTCTCCTTACCGCTTCATTCCTTCCCTCCTCTCCATCCTTTCGACTTTCTTTTCCTCCCTACACCCCGGCACCCACAAAATTAAACATATCATTTGAACCGTAATAAATTTAAGACCTGCGTCAGGAAACACTTGTCTTGTTTCCTGACAGACCTTACTTAACCGTAATGAATATTGGTGAAAAACACCAACTACTGCCAGACACCTGCTTTATTTCCTGGGCATTGCTGGAGGGAGTGAGGAGTGGGGAGGAGGGGTCATCAAGGGTAAATGGGGGCCACTGACCGTCTGGGAATGTCGTCCTTATCGCTATTTGCTTTACACTATTTTTAGTTATTTTCACTGGAGTAGTAACGGCTGGTTTGGAGGAAACAACTGATGGATGTAAACATTATTGTAGTGGTGACGGCTCTGTTGTAGTGAAGAGCCGTTTTGTATATTATCCTCCAAGGACCTCAAAGGAAATAAGTAACTTTGACTTTTTTTGGGGGTTATCCTATGTAATTTACACTATGAATAATAATTGTACTTACATGTACCTGTACCTAAATAAACTTAACTTGCTTACTTAAGTGTACCTGTGCCTAAATAAACTTAACTTACTTACTTAAGTGTACCTGTGCCTAAATAAACTTAACTTGCTTACTTATTAACTTAGTCTACAAAACCTGCATAGTACAATAAATCCGTAATAAACATGCCTCTCATTTTACGATGCCTGCACTCTGCACGTATAAGAATCATGCAAGAGGAATTGTATCTTTAATCTGGAAATCAAGTTTCACATAATACTACCTTTCACAAAACTACTGCCTCCACTATACGTGGAGGCAGTAGTTAAACGCAATTTAAAAATATATATATATATACTCTGAATGAAGTTACAGATTGAGATAACCCTGCTGGGTTAATAATCCAATAAATTTACCTCTTTGGCACGTTCAGGAGTTACGACACAAGGGGGAGGGTTGGATCCTGTATGCCGGTGAAGAGAATTGGAGCTACTGTCCCTTTCTTTGAATCAAACCGGATTACCTCCATTTCCTCATTCGCTGTGTCCCCTGTGAGTTTAGCGCTTCTCCTTGAATATAATAACTACGCTTGTTTTTAATGCGGTCATCAAGATCCAGAACTGTAGCAGGGAACACTGACCACAAAAAAAAGCCCATGTCACCGCAGTGTAAACACGGAGACAACCCTCTCAGTGGTAAAGTATTCGGCTCACGACCAAGAGGACCAGGTTGAATCCTGGACGAGTAGAGATCCATGGGCAAGTCTGGTAACACCTCATACTTAGCAGAAACCTAAGGATTAATTAACCTATGGGTCGCATCCTGGAAAACGGACTTAAAAAAGGCTCCCAAATCACTTTTTTTTTTTCTTGGATTCCTGGGTTATCAGCGTTTTCGATAATACTGATGTGAATAAAGTCCTCATTGCAATCGGGGTCCTCAAGCGTTCATGATATTACCGATATTCACAACTTGATTTTTTTTTTTAGATTTTTCCATTGATATAGACATAGTAAGATGGTGGTACTATTGACCCCTCAGGTAAAACTGCTCCTAACATCTATATAAAATATTGAGTCTGTATGTAAAACTAACGCCACAGATAGTGTAAAAAAAAAAATCGCACCTTCGTTTTAGGCACTCTTTGCGTATGTTGAAATATTTCGTATACGTAGTGGACAAAATGTCTCCTCGGAAAATCTTCCTGCATAGGAGATAGGACGGTACTTTATAAATTAGCTTTTATAAATGGGATAAAATTGCAGTATTTTTCTTTAGCAGACGATACTTCCGAGTTTGTATAATAATGGCCACCCGCAGAGGGCGGCCATCTTGCCGCCTCTTCTGTTGTGGAGGTGTATATTATAGCGGTATCCGCTAGTGCTTCAGGCAGAGTTCTCGTAAATAATTTAGTACACAGTCGGCGAATATAGCAAGCCACCTACGATAATGTTGTTCAAGGTCGACTGACTAGCTGGGTGGCTGCCTGCTTGCCTGCCTGCACCTAGGTCTTCCTGGTGTTTCATAGGTATTACTTCGAGGTGAAGGGAAAGTTGGTGCTCAATTAAAGGTAAAAGGTTGGGAAAGGTAACCAAGACCTAGTCCCAGTGACTGCGGGGGGACTAGGTTGTTAAGGAACTAGGATGCAGGGGCGAGGGTCATTGTGAAGAGTTGTTAGGTGTTAGCTTCTTACAAGATCAGACTATGGGGACCTTAGGTCGTGAAGAATTAGGTTGTGAGGGGTCAGATTATAGATGGTCAAGTTATTGTGGAAGCAGGTAAGAGCAATGACCTCTTATTTCGACGTTGAAGTGACCTTGGCCTGCAGAGTTACGGTGCAGGTCGCCGGGGGTCAGAGAGGTCCCAGGGTCAAGGCACGAGGTTAAAGGTTAATCACTGGCAGTCACGTAATAAAAATAACTTTATGATAAATTCACGATTATAAATTGATGCATACAAGGAAGGCGAGGTGAGGGCTCGCTGCTGGTGAAGGGCTCTTCATCCTAATGAATGTATATATATATATATATACATACATATATATATATATTATATATATATATATATATATATTCTATTTATATCTATTATATATTTATATATATATATATATATATATATTATTATATATATATATAATATATATATATATATATTATATTATTATATATATATATATATATATATATATATATATATATTATATATTATATATATATATATAATATATTATATATATATATGAATGAAAAGAAGTTGGATGTCCTGGCCCTAAGCGAAAGCAAAGCTGAGGGGGTAGGAGGAGTAGATTTTCAGTGGGGGAAATAAATGGATTAAAATCTGAGAGTATTGAGGAGTTAGAGCAAAGGAAGGGGTAGCATTAAGGTTAAATGAATCAGTTATGGAAGGAGAAAGGAGAATATGAATGTGTAAATTCAAGAATTATTGTGGATTAAAGTCAATGTTGGATGCGAGAAGTGGGTCATAATAAGCGTGTATGCACCTGGTGAAGAGAGGAATGCAGAGGAGAGAGAGAGATTTTGGGAGTTGTTAAGTGAATCGTAATAGGAGCCTTTGAAACAAGTGAGAGTGTAATTGTGGTAGGGGACTTGAATGCTAAAGTAGGAGAAACTTTTAGAGAGGTGTGGTAGGTTAAGTTTGGGG